GGGAAGTCCGAAATAGGAATTCCGATTTGGGATATCCCAAGTTTAACTTGGGACATGGTGACGTTTGGGCTACAACATTTTCCATAAATTTTTCGGAGAAATTCTTGCTTTTTTTTTTTTGATAATATTTTGTTGAAATTATTATTTCCTTTATTTTATTTTTTTTTAATCAAGTTTCATAGATTTATTTTTTATTATGTTCAATATTCGCCTATACTATTTGCCTCGTGTTTTTTTTTTTTTTTGCTTAGGGAAAAATGTACTTAGTCATAATAATAACCAATTGTTCTTTCAGAAAGAAATAAAAAGATGATGCATGTTTAAATATATTCTTATCACTAGCTCAATTTATAAAATCAAATACCATCCCCACACCATTCTCGATTGTTTATCACGTGATTTTGACATTTTTGATTTGCTCAAAAAGGTATAGCGCCGAAGTGTCATCATTATAAATATATAAATATTCACTTGATATGATGTAATATTTCAAGAATTTATACACGGAAGGAAGTCAAGAACAACGATCCATCCGCTACCACTCCTGACGTGTAACACATTTGCTAGTTATTCTACAGAAATCGGAGCCCAAGAATTCGATTTGAATCAAATAATCAAAACCGTAACCTACCAACGAGAAATTATTAATCACAATTAATCGATTCCAGTCCTATATTTTACTAATAAATTCACTAAACAAAATTATAGACGAAATATTTAAACGAATGAATATAAAATCTAGGAAAAGGATAAAACAAAAACATAAATTTTTTAGATGCGCAGTCATTCTTTTTTAAATTTTAATTTCTTTCGTGTTCGCGATAAAAGAAATTAATTTCTGCTTTTTGATTTATTTTTTTCTTTAAAGATTTCTATCTAGTAGAACCGCTTCGTAAGCAGTAGTAATGTTCTGTTTGTTTTTCGTTTATCGTTTTTTTTTTGAATTTTTTTTTGATCATTTCGTTGTTATGATGCAGCGACCAATTTTTTTTTATTTTCCATTCAGTTTTTTCTTCAATATGGTTATTTATATTTGTTTTATATATTTAGATTTTCTAGCTTCTTGATCATTTCGCTATTTTTTTTCACAAGTCTAATTAATATACTGTCCATATTTTTTTATTATAGTCGCACATACTGCGGCACTAAAGTAAAGTAGGATTTTTCGATTAATCTGTTTGATTTCAATACGTACATTAAAATAATTTTTAAAGCGCTAATATAAAAGAACACATATTAAAAATTTAATCGAATTTAAATGGATGTTATTACAAAGGACTACTTATATAAAATATAACACTATGATAAACGTGTTAAATATGTTAATTTATAAAGCAATTTAACCATCAACATATTTTGCAACGACTGCGCCATCCACAGTATTAGTCATATTGAACAAAATCATGTGATATTTACTTTGCGATACGTAAAACAAAGGTTGTACAGAGCAAATCATATTCTATTTGGAATAAAAAACGGAGTATTAATCCCGTTAAACTTTCTTTTTGAATAATTTCTATTTCATTGCATTATGTCCTCCATTCGTATGGAATTAGTTAACGATGCATGTGCTAGAGCATTTGCATTAACCGATTATAATACAGACATTGACAAACGTCATGAATTTAGACGACAAACAATTTACGCCGACGAATCTCTCACTAAAAAGGAAAAATCAGAGGCAATAAAAAAGTTAAATAATAATTATGAATATAATAGGATTATCTATAATCAAGGAATGAAAAGAGTTTGTGAAAATTGCAAACAAGAATGTTTTGCAATAACATATTGCGAGAATTGTATTCGAAATTATTTAAAATTAAAATTTTTAGAATGGACATCTGGAAATAATGAAATTGATAATTTAATAAAGAAATGTCAGATGGAAACTATTCTTCCATATAAAATAGTTGAATGGATCCCATTCGATAAATTGCAAAATATCAAATATTTAACTAAAGGTGGATGTTCAGAAATATTTACGGCAGATTTGATTGATGGGGCTTATTATAAATGGGATTGTATCAAAAAACAATTAATAAGACGTGGAAGAGAAGAAATCATACTTAAAAAATTAGAAAATGTCGAAAGTGTTAATAGAAGTTTGTTTGAAGAGGTATGTAATTTTAAATGTATTAATAATTGTTGGTTTTATATATAAATATATATATTAAAAAGAAAGGAAGTAACTAATCAAACGAATTCTCATTTATAGGCTGAATCTCAATTAATATTAAGCAGCAAATGGGGAAATTTCGCTCAATCTTATGGTCTTACTCAAGATCCACAAAATAAAGATTATTTTCTTGTAATGGTCTTATTCAACATAGATTTAAGAATGTATTTACAAAAAAATCGTACCCAACTTACATGGAAACAAAGAATCAACATAATTCAAAATATAATCGATGCAGTTTTATGCCTTCATTATGAAAATTCGATTCATAGAGATTTGCATTCAGGAAATATCTTATATTCAGAATATAGCGATAGATGGTATATTAGTGATTTTGGATTTTGTGGACCTGCTGATAAACCATTAGGAAGTATATATGGAAATCTTCCTT